TCTCTCTGTCAAATAAATAAAAAAATCTTAAAAAAAAAATCCTTTAAAAAAAATAAATAAAATAATTAGTTGAGCCACTTGTACCAATGGAACCGACAGCTGCTATCAAGCTAGTTTTTAATTTTTTTAGTGGAGAAGTCACATCTAGACAGCCTATATAAAGATGGCTGTTAGGGAAAACTTTCAAAATACATGGAGAATTAGCTTGTAACTGGAAGAACCATCATCATTTTCATTTCATGGGGCTTTTCAGATGTAACAAACAGGCTTATTGGGCAGTGAATACAGATGTGAGTCCTGTAATTTATACCCACATGATTATGATCACAGACACAGAAGGTCTGGGGCATAAGCGAGCCAATGATTCTCCTGACAAAATTTATGAGAAGATGCAATCAGTGGGGACACCTGGGTGGCTCAGTCGGTTAAGTGCCTTTGGCTCAGGTCATGATCTCAGGGTCCTGGGATCGAGTCCCGAATCGGGCTCCTTGCTCAGCAGGGAGTCTGCTTCTCCCTCTGCCTGCCCCTCCCCCTGCTTGTGCACTCTCTGATAAAGAAATAAATAAAATCTTTTAAAAAAAGGATGCAGTCAGTGGACCCAAGCCTCACCTCACTAAGGGGAAACCAGGTAAGGCAACCAGTCCTATGTAGATCAGCAGCTCCAAGCTCTCCTTTATATGAAGCCTGACCCAGGACATCTAAAAATAGAGGACTGACTAGCTGGAAGTCTCTCTCTTCTCCCCACAGATACTCCAGTGGAAACGCAATAGGGTAAAGGAGTTAGAAGATGAGCAGAGGCCTCAAACCACAATCTGACTGATAGAGCTAAATCTTAGAAAATGGTAACCAGGTTCTCCAGCCTTAAACAGCTCGAGGGATTTAGAGAAGATTAAAAAGACACTTCTAACAAGGGTTAAACATAAAAAACAGTCACCAAGAGAGGGGAAGAATTGCCTTTTTTGTTTTTTTAATAAGAGGATACACGCTCTGCTGTGTCAATCAGAAGCAGAACTCATTGCTGGAACAATTATGTAAAGATGAATATTAAAAGATTTATCACATAACTGTTTCTGGTAGAGAAAAACAGGAAATAGTCTGTCCACCAAAAGAGGATTGGCTAAGTTAGGATTTTATGATTCTCAGTGGAACAACAATACATACCCACTTAAAAATACATGGGTGTAGATTTGACACAGAAATCTATTTCCAACTTCTTGTTGGGTGAAAAAATAAAATAAAATTCTACTATGTAAAATTACATATTGTATATGTACACACATCTGTATAGGTACAGGGAATGTCTAGAATATTCCCTTGAGTGTTAAACAGTGGTTATCTCTGGGAGGATTTCTTGTAACTGCTATTTAAAACCACAAATAACTAATCTCTAGGTGATGATTTCTTTCAAAAACAGAATTAAACCAATGATATAGATAATATACTTGCATTCAGTTTTAGATTCCTTAGTTCTGAGTGGTATTTACACAGTAAATGCAGTACATGGACTACTTACAAGTGATTCCATTATCTTATACGCTTAGTTTCTTAGTTTCTTTTTTTTTTTGAGGGAGGGAGGGAGGGAGAGAGAGAGAGGGAGACTGAAAGAGAGAAAGAGAGAGAGAGAGGAAGGGGCAGAGAGAGAATCCCCAGCAGGCTCCACACTCAGCACGGAGCCCAATGCAGGGCCTGATCTCACGACCTGAGATCATGACCTGAGCTGAAACCAAGAGTCGGACGCTTAACCAACTGAGCCCACCCAGGCACCCCTAGTTTCTTTGTTACTAACTATTTTTCTGGTTCCTGAATCTTTTATATAACTTAAAAGTTAATGCTCACCCTCTGGCCCTTCCCACCACATCCTTCTTCTCAAGCCAGTTCTGGCCCTCTTTGTACAAGCCTCTATCGTCAACTTCATTATTGTCTCCTTTAGTCAGAAATTTGATGTCTCCATTATCTCTAGAAAGCAAAATAATGTCCTTTCACAAATGATTTTCAGCACAGCATCGTTAGAAAACAATTAGTTTACCCAGCATGTCACAGTCGGATATGGGCATTTAGATGAGCATTCGACAATAACTAAATCTTTCCTGGTCTAAGGTGATTGCTTACAGATAACCATCCAACTAACACGCAGGTCTGCTAGCGATTTTGCAGACTCAAATTCTAAAATGCTCATGTTACCCTAATAACCAAAAAGCATGGCAAAGCACGAGGGCACCAGCAAGGCAATGATTAGCTCCCAGCAACTGTTTTCATTCTCTTAGTCCTCAAAGACCAACTTGTGAACATGGATTATATTCCCCTTCACTCTAGACATGAACGTGGTCCTAGATCACATGGATTTGAGCACAAGCTAATTCAATGCGGGTGTGCCCTTACCCCTCCTCAAACTTACTTCTCCTTGCCAAATGTAGAATGTTAATGCATTGTTTCCTTCAGCACTGAGCAAAGTGGTATAAAATGCGGTTTGCAAAGAAACAGGAATCACAAATGGCATAAACCAGTGTGTTAAAGAGACCCATGGGAGTAATTTTAAACATTCTGAACCGGCACTTACATAGCCTTGACACTAGAAACACAACATTACAGCATTATAGAGCTATAAAGAGGGTCTTCTTTCAATAAGACAAATGAAAAAAAGCACTATTATAATTAGATAAAATATTAGAAGCCCACAAAGATTTGAAACCAGCCAGAAGCAGCAAGCTGATTTGCAGCTGCGGTTATAAAGGAAATCAAGAAGATAAAACCCCAAGCAGTCTCTCCCATAACTCATGCAAATTACAGAAAATCACCATTATTTCTTCAACTTTGAATAATTTTTCATCTGTAGGAATTATTTTTAAGACAGCTGTCACGTTACGACCATGCATATTTCTTTATCAGTCAGTTAACAAGTGGACATCAAGTCCCATCCTGTAGAACCACAAGTGCAACGCAAATGGAAACAGGGTCATTCCAATGTTTACAGCAAAGCAAAGTGACAATTTTAAGTATCGACTTCTTGGGGGACCCCTGAAAGCAGCGAATGGAATGGGAACCTAACACTGGAGATACACAAATAGTTACAGTACACTCGTGTGTACACACACCCACCCATACACCCACACACACCCATGCACGATGAGAAACGCTCTGTTATTTAAAAAACACAAATACACACATCAGTTTAATTCCATAACTCAGGCAGGTAAAAATGCTACACTAAGCTGCAAGAGGTAAATGAATAACCCAGTATATAGAAGGTAACATTTTCACTAATCATGTGACTGTACCCTCCCTTGGGAACTTAATATATTTGAGGTAGAAGTCAGTGTTTCTCGTTCCCAAAAAGTGTCTTCAGAAGCCACCACTGGCATTTAAAGGAAAGGAAGACCATCTGTGGGGGGAGAACTGAAGCAGGACACGCAGTGACTGAACCCCGAGCGGGGCCGCCGTTCAGGGCTAAGGCTACAGCTGTGAATGCCGCTTGGTCCGAAGTGACACACAGAAACAGGCAGCTTTCTGCATTTCAGAAAACAGTCCTCACATCATCATCATCCTCAGCTGCAATGGGACTGGATTTTCTCTGATACTCCTTCAAATAACTATTAAACTGTCATACCTTCCACCTCCCATTGTGCAGCAACTTAAGTTACTGAGTCCTTCCGGAAACACCTGTCCGTTCAGTTCTCACACTCGCCCTGTGAGTCACGATGGGAAATGGTAACGTTATCATGCCCGTCTTACAGACTGGGTAAAGTAGCAGGTCCGCAGTCACCCAATTAGTAAATGGCAGGACTAGGAGCATAATCCAGAGCATCTGCTACTTTCTACTCAACCATGAAAACTGGCTACTGAAATTGAATCACAAATTCCACACCTGAAACTAATATTACACTGTATGTTGACTAACTGGAATTTAAATAAAAACTTGAGAAAAAAATGGAAAAAAAAAGTTGGATAACAATCAGTGCTAGTGGAATGAATGAATGAATGAATGAATGAATGAATAAATAAATAAAATAAATCTGGCTACCAAAATTTATAAAACATCACCAAAAAGAAGTCAAGTCACCTTACTTTTCATGAACTTTGATCACTCTGTGAACTATTGGAATGTCTCGTCCTTCGACTTTAAAGACCACAATTTCACCCGCTCTAATAGGGTCTTCCCGAAAGTTTGTCAGGAACAGAAGGTCACCTCTGTGAAAGGCTGGCTCCATACTGCCACTGGGAAGAAACACAAAATCACATCCAATTAGCCTGGGCTCACAGGGGAACTTTTCAATTCATGAAGAACACAAAAATAAACCTATCAGTGAAAGTGTCCACCTCCATCAATTGTCAGGTAGGTCTGGGAGCTATCAAACATGCCACAGTGGTTCCCTTCTGACTGCTCATGATGATGACATCAAGTGAGAAAGGAAATGATTTCTTCTTAGATTAAGTATGAAAAGGATAGTAGCAGGCCCCACTGTACTTTGTATTAGGTAGAAAAAGAACCAAGTATAATGTGAACACTTTGAAGTAAAAGCTGCCAATTTTTAGCCTCAAAAAAAAGGTTCTACATCTATAAATACATTACTATTTTCATTCAGAAGTGCAGACTCTGAAGCTCGTTGACACTCTAGGGCAAGTCTTGCGTTTCATGGCTCATCCCCAGCACCTAGGACGTGGGCATTCCCATTCAAGGAAGAGAAGCAAACAAATGAATGCCTGAGAAGACTGATCTACCCGAAAAATGAGCTGAAGGTTGGGACAAAATTCAAACCCAAGTCTTGGGACTCCTGCAGCATCATCCCTTAGGCCGTATTCTACAGAAAGCCCAATTTTAACAAATATTGACTGCTTTTGATATGGAGGTCAATAAATAATCCTACATGGTACTGGTGTAAACCCATGCCAAAAATCTTCAGTGGATTCAAAGTAAACTGTAATCTAGTAGAAGCTGAAATTAACAAAACAGAATTCATTTTCCCTTTTTTTAATGTTCAGTTAACCACTGTATAGTACATCATTAGTTTTTGATACAGTGTTCAATGATTCATTAATTGCGTATAACACCCAGTGCTCATCACAACACGCGCCCTCCTTAATACCCATCACCCTGTTACCCATCCCCCACCCCCCTACCCCCCTCTGAAACCCTCAGTTTTGTTTCCCAGGGTCCATAGTCTCTCATGGTTCATCTCCCTCTCTGATTTCTCCCCCTTCAGTTTTCCCCCCTTTCCCCTATGTTCCTCCGTGCTATTGCTTATGTTCCACATATGAGTGAAACCATATGATAAATGTCTTTCTCTGCTTGACTTATTTCACTTAGCATAATCCCCTCCAGTTCCATCTGTGTTGATGCAAATGGTAGGTATTCATCCTTTCTGATGGCTGAATAATATTCCATTGTATATATGTACCACATCTTCTTTATCCATTCATCTGTTGAAGGGCATCTCAGCTCCTTCTAGTTTGGCTATTGGGACAATGCTGCTATGAACACTGGGGTGCATGTGCCCCTTCGGATCACTACATCTGTATCTTTGGGGTAAATACCTAGTAGTGCAATTGCTGGGTCGTAGGGTAGCTCTATTTTTAACATCTTGAGGAACCTCCATACTGTTTTCCAGAGTAGCTGCACCAGCGTGCGTTCCCAAAAAACAGTGTAAGAGGGGTTCCCCTTTCTCCACATCCTCCCAACATTTGTTGTTTCCTGTTTTGTTAATTTTTGCCATTCTAATTGGTGTAGGGTGGTATCTTATTGTGGTTTTGATTTGTATTTCCCTGATGGCTAGTGATGTTGAGCATTTTTTCATGTGTCTGTTAGCCATTTGTATGTCTTCTTTGGGGAAGTGTCTGTTCACATCTTCTGCCCACTTTTTGACTGGGTTATTTGTTTTTTAAGTGTTGAGCTTGAGAAGTTCTTTATAGATCTTGGATACCAGCCCGTTATCTGTAGTGTCATTTGCAAATATCTTCTTCCATGCCGTGGGTTGCCTCTTAGTTTCACTGAGTGTTTCCTTTGCTGTGCAGAAGCTTTTTATCTTGATGAAGTCCCAAAAGTTCATTTTTGCTTTTGTTTCCCTTGCCTTTGGAGACGTGTCTTGAAAGAAGTTGCTGTGGCCAATGTCGAAGAGGTTACTGCCTATGTTCTCCTCTAGGATTTTGCTGGATTCCTGTCTCACACTGAGGTCTTTAATCCATTCAGAATTCATTTTCCATATGCTCATGCTGTGTCATAATGCATGAGAAAATAAATAAGACCAAACAATATTGCAATATAGAGGCTGTATGATCAAAAACCAGTGAGAAGTTTGTTGAGGGCAGGATGCAGCGAGGAAGAACCAGACTAGTGAAGAAATGGAGTGCTTTAAAGGAAAATGTGAGTTAAAATGGCAGCAGCTCAAGAAGTTGGCCCTCCTGTCCCTCCAGGCCCTGGACCACCTTAAACTTGTCAGCACATGCAGATCAGCAAAGAGAAACACAGCGGAGACTTGCCTGTCACTAAGTACTTGCTGATGTGTTTATTATTTAAGTGAAACCAGTGACACTAAGTATCATAACAGATCTAGCATTCAAAAATAGGAAGTCTGAATAAAAAACAGAGAGAGGGCTAGAAATATAAATGACTATGAGGGAAAGAAAGAGCAAACAATTAAGAACTACAACTAGAAAAACCTCCTGGATAAGTCTCAGAAGCAGAAGAGTACAGTTTGTCATCAAGGGTCATTATCGTTGGGGCGCCTGGGTGGCTCAGTCGTTAAGCATCTGCCTTCGGCTCAGGTCATGATCCCAGGGTCCTGGGATCGAGCCCCGCAT